CGAGAGGAAGAAATGGAGTTAAATGACGAGTTTGGAAAATTGTATTCAGAAAGCTCTTACAAATATAAGGCCAAAGATGTCCTTACAGTAAATAAGATGGGAGGTAACTGGGACCTAGACAAGGGAGCGTTATTGTCATCCGAGATGTTAACTGCTAAGAAAATAAAAGACTCCTTTTAAGTGTCGTTCATTTGAAAATCTATTTACCTTTTTTATCAAAACTTGGTCCTAGTTACTGCAACTTGTGTTTCGTCATCTAACGCTTAAACTCTTCAGTTAAAAAGTTCAGACAAATATATTTGAGAACATTAGAATATGTTTTTAGTAGATTTGTGGTGAGTAGGAGAGTGCGTACAGTTGCCAGGTTATATCTTAGTCAACTGAAAACCAACCCTGACAGGATTACAGCCACATACCAGTGCGAGAGAACTCATTAAAGTCAGAAAATAATATAGGTACTTAATATCGTAGGTTTAAAACTTCTGAAATTTAAAACTAGTGGGGATCTAATGTTCTTTGCAGTATTATTTTTTGCAGTGGAAGGCAAAAATCCAAGAATACACAACAAGGTTAGGAGGAAAGTTGTCATGAACAGAGACTATACACAAGGCTATACGACGTAATTAATTAGTACCAAGATCTTCGGAGATCGAAGAATGCCTGAAGAACCAATTCTCAAACTAAGTTCTGTGCAAGAAGGACGCTAAATATCAGCTGTAGCATTTTAGGTTGGTGAAATCCATCTCAGAGTTTACAGACCTTTGTAAGCACACAAGAATGCTAGAAAGCACAGAAAAACAGCCTCCTCAGAATAACGGTATCTGTAAAATAGATGAGCCTTTTTAGTTTTCTGAAAAGAATGAAGTAACTTGCTCAGGAAAAAGAGAGAACGTGCCTTATTGCACATGCAAAAAGAGTAATATATAACTGAGCACTGAACAAAGTCACAGAAAAAAAACCCCACTTATTATAGGCCGTTATTGGAACTGGGCTCTTATATTTCTGTATAATTAGTTTTCAGGAACAGAAAGGCAGTAACGCTAATACTCTTTTTAAACTACCACATGTGATTAAATGATCTTTTGAAACCAACCAGCAGAGAGCAAATAATGCCTTTCTCTAAGTCTATTCACTAAATTCTGAAAATATCCACAGGTCAATGCCATATCCAGAGTCAGCTAGAGCCCAGCTATAAACACGGTTTAGTTTTGCTTCCAGGCACAGGGTGACAGATGTGAGTCCCACTGAAAACCTGTTGTTTAGTCTCGGGGCTGAAGCCTCGCTCTTAGCACCTCAGATTTAACAATCAGTTGAGATTCCTTCGAGCAACCCCAAGTTCCTCCACATTCTTTCATGGACAATGAAAGTGAACTGATGGGTGCTGGAATTTTGGCCTTTTACTACCGAAGAAAACAAGTCTGCACAACAGACCTATTATTCTTCATCACTTCCTTTATTAATAATTTCATTTTAGTGACATCCTGCAGGCCAGTTCGCTTAGCATTCCTTCTGTGCAAGCGGTCTTCTCTCATCTTTGCGAGGGCAAGAAGAGGTAGGTGTGGGGGATTACTAATCTGATTCTCATTCATCAATCTCGGAGAGATTTTTAATGGATGAGGGTTCTAAAGGTCTGAAGAAAATCAGATTTGGAGACATTAATGGATTAGCTGCTGCTTCAAAATTTACATATACAACAATGGCATAAAAGGCCAACATCCTATTTGTCTGTGCACATCCTGCCAAACAGCCCAATCCAAAAGGGCATTAGACAACAAATACCCTCCTGATGCTAGAAGCTTTGTTCCTGGCGTAGCTGACACAGCTCTATGAAATATTAACAGACTCCTCAAAGAGCACGTTTTTTATGTAGTTTCACATCAAATTATTAGCACCATCTGCAATCCAATCGAATTTTGAGAGGAACTCCTCAGACAGTCTCAGTCTCCTTTAATTGCCCCCACTGACCCAAAACGAAACACCCTTTGGGAGCAACGCTCACACTACGTGAACAGGGCAGAACCTAAAACCTCTTTATAACGAGTATGTTGTATGAGTATCCATAAAAACTGAAGAATCCTAGGTTCAGATGCCTCTGAACAACACTGTCAGAAACAACCTTTGGTGCATGAGACTTTCAGTAGAGAGACTTCTGATGTTTCCCAAGCTTTAAAGCATCATTAGCGATTTTTGAAATCTCTAAATGCACTCTCAGATACTCAGTTTCAGGCTACCTTGAATTAATCCCTAACAACTAATTGCCTCCTAACCTGTTCACGCCCAACACACATTTACCGATGGCTGAACATCACGCAGAACAAACTGAATCATTCCTACATTAGAGTCATCCTGTTTCAATGTCAGAGGCCACCTTAAGCACAAAAAGTCATCTCCTAAGTGCATTCTGTTGCAATAATTTCATGAAGTAACATTCTTCTCTGGTACATGAATGTATAAATATGAACCACCACATCCAGAATAACGTGGGAGTAAATATTCAATAAATATGCCCTTAAAAGCAATTAGGAAAATTATTAAATTGAAGTCTAGGATTCAAATTGCATGTGCATAAAAAAAAAAAAAAAATCAGTGATACTTTCAAACTAATCATAAAACATAATTTATCATGTTGTTTTTAACTAAAAGCTAGTGTCTCCTATATCATCCTGTTTGTGATAAAAATACAGCAACTAACATTCATTTCAATATTTCCATAAAAGAGTATTTTTGTAAGGCTAATCTAAGGTTCTTAGATTTCACTATGTTTGATTTCTGTGTCCAAGACCTCAAGAATTTTCAGAAAAATCTGACACTAGACACTATGCTGTTAATGCTGCTTTTAATATGAATTTCCTCATAAAAATTCTTTACAGTTGCTAAAATAACTATTTTACATTCATAAGAATGACACAAGTGGACTGTCATACTAAGTTACAGGAGGAGATGGACTAGTAGATCTTACTTCCCAGAGAAAACATTTATTTTCCTGAAACGCTATTTCAACTTGGTGATAGGAAATCCTGCAGGTTGCAGGTGTGAATCTCAAGGGTTTAAAAAATAAAGCTACACTGCTGCTGTGGGGCATGCTTTTCAGATGTCACAAGTCATTTGAACGAGCTGTTCTGCCTGCAAAACTGGTAAAAATTTAAAAAGCAACAACAAAAAACCCAACCAGCCAAACAATTCATTCGGATTCGTCCTATCTGATGCTCGCTGCGCCGCCAACGATTCAAGGTTGGCCCCACGATACGATCTGTGATGCTTCCCGTCGAGCCCTAGCTCATTCCACCACCACATTTATTTTGCTCGAGCAGCCTTAGAGTGAGATGAGCATACCTTCCGAGTTCAGCGTAATAAGCGTGACATTGTTCCCGATACTTTGGCTTCCTAATTGTCCACTGTTGGAAACCGAGTCACTGGCCTCAGAGCCACTCTCTCCGTCTTCGTTGTGACTGTCGTCGTGTCCCGGAACTTTCACCACTATGGTGTTCTGCCTACGTCCCGGCACAGCGCTACGGAAAAGAAAAGGAGGTAACTTTGGGAAATCAATTCTTGATCAGGGGTAGCATCACTAGAAAGGAATTCCAAACACTAACGGACAAATGTGTTGTGAAAGCTTTTAAAGGCTGCTCCTGTTTATAACGCAGAGCTACCCAGCAAAATAAAACGGAAAGAAAAGAAATCAAAAAATGTCAGATGCACGCTTTCTAAGTTTGCATCAATGGGAAAGTCGAGGCCCAGTGTGCAAAACAAAAAATATTTAAATCATTTATAGAAACATATTATTTAAGAACACTTTCTACCCAGAATCTCTAGTTCCGCTTAACTGAAACTTTGGTTTGGATAGTACTAACTCTACCAAGCCTTCGTGGGCTGCTGCATATTCCTTCTTCAGCTGGTTACATACAGGATCTTGGCACGTTCCCAAGTGATCGTATATTGATGCTCTGGGCACTTTCTTCCAACTGTCATCTGTCAGCTAACCCCAGATCCTCCAGGATGTTCTCTGCCCGTGAGGAGCGTTCACTGCTCTGTACCTTTACTGCTGACAGGAGCTTTCCCCTGGCAGAACCGTCAGCCCGATAAAATATTCAATATTCAATGTTTGTCCCCCTACTATCACCTAGAACATTCCTCATTTTGCACCTCAGATAGCTGCAGAAACTGATACTGATCTGGCAAAGGAGGAAATGAAGCGGGAAGATTCCCGTAACTGCTACTAACGTGCTAAGGATATTTTCCAGAGAATCCGCTGCTCTGCTCAATGGTTCTTCCTGCCCAACCATCTTGGCTACAATTGAATTCTGCCGGTCGTTGTTCAGTATTACTGTGGTCTGAGGGACAACACTACAAGACAAAAATCAGAGAGGAAAACAGAATGTCAAGGAGCAAATAAATAAACATTAACGCAGTCTTACAGTTTAAATAGTTTATTTAAAAACAGAGACTGAGGACGGAGAGCTTCAAGGAAATTATATATAAAGTCCACAATCTCTGGCAAAGCCATAAAGGATTCATCAACTCAAGATACACAGGAGGAAGTCTGTCAATCACAGCTCCAACGAGCCACCAAATTCCTCTTTTGAAAAGTCTGACAGTGAACATTTTACTTACAGGGTAATAGATCATTTGAAAAAAAAAAAATCTAACACAACACAAAAAGCATTTAATGTGTGCCTCTGCTGTCACTTGCGATGACAGTGCAGAAGGAAATCAGAGAAATGTTGCACAGAAAAACACAGAGTCTACACTATAATGCAAAAATAAATATGAAATAATTGTCTCCAGCGTGCAGCTTATCATTTTGTTTGCTCTCAGAGATCATTAACGTCATTCCCACAGCATTGCTCTATATTCTAACGCCTGGTTTTGATATTTAAGACTGTTTCCACTGTGCTTAAGGAGAGAACTTAGAAGAACGTTTGTGTTTTATGACAGAGAAGGCTTTTTCCTTTCTCCCTTTGCTTCCCACAGTAAACAATCAGCTGTTGTTTTTACTGGTCCCACATCTCAAACGTGACTGATGGCCATTTATTTTTCTTAACTGTATTCCTTGGCTAATTGCTGAAATACAAATTAAACAAACCTGATGACAGCAACTCTCTGTTTATTTCAGCTGTAATAAAGCGCCTCTTTGCTTGAATATTCATGCGTGCACGTAAGATCTTAAGTGCTAAAATATCCTCAAGAAAAGATAAGAAACTGCCATAAGAGCTTGCAACGAATGGATCTCGACTTTGGCACAGATAGAACAGCTGACCACAGGGCTTTTGGATGCAAAAAGCCCCGGGACGTGATGTCCCTTACAATAATTGCATCTGTTACCAGCACCAAACGGGATCCCTCCCGGACGGCAAACCTCAGGGAGATGTTTGTCTCCTCACAGGCAAGTACAGGCTGTACCACAGCTTCCCATGTGGATGGGAAATTCAAATTATACTAAGGATTAAAAGCGGGCTTTCTGTTGGTTTTTCTCCTTGCTATCTAGAGTACAGGGGTTCATGATGCTTTCGAAGTCACCTTTTCCATTATCAAAAACGCAGATTTATTTTTTTTTTAAATTAAAAAAGCAACCTCTACTTCCTCACTGCCAGCACTAAACATTCTGAAAAAACACACCAAATAAGTTGATAAATACCAGTATGTGGCAATGCTGGCAGCCCCCCCAGTCTAGCAGCAATACGTCTTCTCCTTACACTTCCCAAATAGCTGCATTTGAAGTTTTTACAGGCCAGTTAAAAATGTTCAAGGATTTTACACTTCCTTTCAGACATTGTTCTTTATCACCATCTTTCTTGCAATCACTTCTGAACGCCTGTTTAAAATGTCACTTACCAAAGCTTATTTTTAATGAACATTCTGAATAATTAATTTCAGCTGTAGAGATAAATGCAATAAAATTACATTTTTAAAAGTCCTTAGGATTTTGCTCATATCGAGTTTATATTCAAAAAAAAAAGTCTTGGCACTAAGAAGTGGCATAAAATAAGAAGTTGGGGGGGTTGCCCTTTATTTTTCTGAAGCTATCTAGAGAGCGAGCTGGATGGCACATAGTTAATTTAAGCAAATTTAGAAAGAGGAAATACCTTTATACAGCCCCACCAGTACAGATTTAACCTCTTTTCAATGCATAAATGTATGTTCAAGCTTGCTTACTTCTACGCAAAATCAGTTTTTTCAACTGTATCCCTAAACAAACACCCACGAAAACACTGCGTTCTCACCAAGAATTAACTTTTCCCACTTAGTAAAAAGGATTATTGACAAGAAAAATCCACCTTTACAGTTGTTTTGGGAGGAGCCACTAACTGAACGTACCATTTTACTGACACAGATTTTCCTGGCTATACAGGAGGGTGAGGTAACTTTTCCATTCAAAACATTATATGTAAACCAAAAAACTACAATTCTGGTCCGTTTTCTCCCCGGAACAAGAATGGCTACAGAATTTGCCGGCAAATTCTGACAATGAGGCATCACGCGGCTGAAATTTTTTAGAACTGATGCTGTGAAACTCGAGCAGTTAATTAGAAGAAAATAACGGCTGGGACCAAGACAAAAAGGTGCCATCACGCAGCAAAAAGCAGTTTTGCAGAATTGCCTTAGACTGCAATTTCTACATGGGAGAAACGACATCCATGAGTTTCCCTGCAGATACAGGAATGTGCTTCCCACGAACTTTCCTGTGAGATGTTCTATTCTCTGTTTTCGGCTTTTTTTATTGCAAAGAGACAACAGTAAGAAATCTGCTCAATATGCACGAAATTAAACAAGGAATTCTATGTTAAGTCAAAATATCAGGCCCGTCTGACAAAATCCACCAAAGCAAATAACTAAAACTTCTTGCAGCCAAGTGCATCCTCATTCTGGATTATTCCAATTTCTTTTTTCAGTCTGTAGATCTCATACCGAAGATGAATCAACTTTAATTATTACTTATGGACTAAAATACAGAAAACAAGAATCACAAAGAAGGAGGAAAGCCTCCGATAGTCACTCGGCTCTCAAATGACGCAATTTTTTCTATAAGTGCTGCCAGTACTACACTGGGGGAGAAGATGGAAAGAAAATAGCAGGAGGGGTCAGGGGGAGTGCTGCAGAAAGCCTTCAGTACTTTCCATTTGTGTTTCACGTATTCCTTTCCCCATCAGCATTAGAACTTGGAGAGACTGGTTCTGCAATTTGCCTATTCTTGGGACATAACTTAGTAAAAAAAAAAAAATTTAAAAAGCACGCAACTTTGGGAAACTTTTTAAAATGCAGTTTACCTAGTAATCTGTGAAGTTACAGGTGAAATATTTCTAAGAACAAATAAACATATCAGGTAACGATTTTCAAGTATGCATATTTAGCATCTGGCTTTTTTTTACATACAAAAGGACATTCTATATTTTGCCTAAGAAAATTGCTGCCAAAGGTAATTTTCAGTATGGAAAACGTGTGAGTCATAGATATGATCGTTAGTCTTAACTGTTGGTTTTTCACTGCCAATAACCTGTCAATCACCGAGAATGCAGCCATTGACATAAAAGCACTTTTGGCAATACGGGGACCATCATCTCCTCTTCCCAGATGAGGTTTTCATTTAGAAAGAGAGAGAAATGAAGCAAAAAGAGCAAACTGGCATCTCTATCTTCCACAAGGTACAAGATCAAAAGCATTTCTGCAAATGGATGAAAATTCCTTGTGGAAAAGCTCAAGACTAAAATGTTCAGACAAGAACTTACTCTTTGTATTTTCCTAGACACGCTAATGTAGACCCATTAAATGGAATATTTATAGTGGTGCTCAACAGGTTCAAGAAAAAGAAGAGGAGAGTCTTCTGTTTGGACCATTTCTGAGCCTCCTTTGCACTTGTGAACATCTGCAAGTAGGGAAATAAAAGCTCGGAGACAGAGCTCGGCTTAGAGACGCCCAACGAGTGACACCCACACAACCGGCTGCTTCCCGTGCACATAATCCCTCGCGGTGACCACAACGCCCGCGCAGCGTGTGCCGCTTGTGTGCAAGGCAGGGCTCCTGAGCACGTTGCTCGCCTCTTCCTCTCGTGCCCCTATTAGGAGGAGATGAGGAAAGAGAGGGGATAAGGAAAGCAGGAGTTGGTGTTCCTGCTGGCTGGCTGCTGGTACGAAAGGTCTCCAGCCAAACACAGGCTTAAGGAAATCAAGTCTGGGATAGAGACTCTGAACTCAAATAATTCCTCGTTTACTGCTGGGGATGAACCTGAATGCTTAAATGTATAGCTCATGTACATGTGGGGGCTCTGGAGGAATATTACCACTAGCCCTACCAAGAAGAAGATGGAAATGTTTTTCAAATTATATAGAAAAATCTCGGTTTAGAAGTGTGGCATTTTCCTTTTTTTTATTTTTCACCAACACTGGTGTTCATCTGTAAGAACAACAATTTTTGGATCTTTTCATCACCATTTCAGAAAATAATGCTAAAATGCTCCTTCCTCTTGATGACCACCTGCTTTCTTTGCCTTCATCACGCAACCGTTAAAGATTCCCTACCCAAACAGGAAGGAGAAAACCGCTTTCTGAATTTAGGCTACGGTACACATGGAACAAAACAATGAACTGGCAAAGCATACACAAAATTAGATTAGGTTTATGCTAAAGAAAAAAATGACAACAGCTCCTCATCTCCCAGGAGAGCACAAACTTGCCACCAACCAAACCGTTCACCCAGGTGAAGACCAGTGGGACACCTATCGCAGGGTAGAGCTGGTTGGGCAATCGAATAGTTAAAACTTTTCATGTCCTTAAACCATGCATTTGCCTAGTCAGAGCCAATTGCCAGAAAAGCAGCAGCGTTATCCATCATTTTCAGTAAGAGTTCAGTCAAAAATTATCTTTGGACTCTATGCATCTGGAACATCACAGCAGAGTGGACATTCTGAAGGCAGCGCTAACGATCGGGCCCTGGCAAAAGGCAAGCCAAAGTACACCAGCCATCGCTGGAGAGAGATTGGGGGATCCAAAAACCCAGAAAGCCGCGATCATTTTATAATAAAGATGAAGGAAATGCAGCGCTTAATAAAGCAGACTGTTAACTGTTTAAGAACATTTAAAATCAAATTTTCAGCTCAAATAAGAGCCAAACCTTTTCCAAGTTGAAAAATACATCTATAGAGAGTTTACGGTACTCAGCCTTACCTACAGAGAGAGTCTCTGAACTGACTTAAAATCAGAATGACATTAATTACTAGCTTTAAGACCAATTTGATCAACAGATTTTCAAAAAAACAGATTTTCAAACTCTGTTCCAAGAAAAGCTCAATGCACTTTTGTAATCACTCACAAATTACAACACTCATTTCTGACTAGTTCACCAACTCACCA